CACACACACACACACACACGCACACCAGTCTCTTTCCCACAGCAGTTTGTCTTAAAGCAGTGATTATTTCTTAGGGGGACCTGGCCAATGGGCACCCCCATCATGGCCCAAAGAGTGTTTCATCAATGAGTTATCAGGCAACTGTTCATCAAAGATGAGAGCATATAAAAGCCTTCCCTCAGGGGCACCTGGGTGGCCTGGTTGGTTAAGCGCCTTGGTTTGACTGGGGTGGTGGCCTCAGGGTTCCGTGGGTTCAAGCCCTGTGTGGCTCTCTGCTTCGGACCCTCTGTCCCCCTCTCTCTCTGCCTCTCTCCTGCGTATGCATGCTCTCTTGCTCTCTCTCTCTCTCTCAAAAATAAATAAACATGAAAAATAAAGTCTTTCCCCAGAGGAAAAAGAACTGGGCTAGCATTCAGGAAGTCAAGGTCCTGGTTCCATTTTAGAACCCCCCTCAGGTTTCAGTCTAGCTGAGACTTCAGTTTCCCTCCACAGGTCTCTAAAGCTTCCTTCTTTGTAGTTACTCAGAAGTGACCTTGTGGTTTGGAATAATTAAAATGTTTTCCCAACTGATTTCTGTATGTGGTTTGAGTGTGGTAGGAGGAGAAGCTTCTATGATTTTAGTAAAACCAGAAGCACATCGGAGGCAGAAGTAAACATAGAAAACAAGGATAAAGCAAGAGGAGAAAACAAGATAGACTTCCATATTTACCATGGGAGCTGCCAGTTTGTCACAAGGAATGAAGAGTAAAAAAGAAAAGAAAGGCTCAGAGTGTGAATGAGAGGGATGAAAATGACTCTAACACTTGGGAGGTGCTGATACGGGGCTGTGCATGTGTGGGGGCAGGTGGTACCTGAGAATCTCTGTACCTTCTGCTCAATTTTGCTGTGAATGTAAAACTACCCTTAAAAAAGTTTTTTCAGGGGTGCCTGGGTGGGTCAGTCAGTTAATCAACCGACTTGGGCTCAGGTCATGATCTCACGGTTCTCGTGGGTTTGAGCCCCGCATCAGGTCTGTGCTAACAGCTCAGAGCCTGGAGCCTGCTTCGGATTCTGTGTCTCCCTCTCTCTCTGCCCTTCCCCCTCGCTCTCTGTCTCTCTCTCTCAAAAATAAACATTAAAAAAATATTTAAGTCTATATGAAAGTGAAACAACAACAACAACAGCAACAAACCGAAACCCCATCACCCTCACTTCTACCTGGCTATCTCCAGACAACTTTTGAAGGTTTAAGTCCAAAGGACAGGTCTGCCCAGAAATTTGGGGACTAGCCATGAAGAGGGTACCACATGAGCTGGATAAAGGATTTCATTTGGAATAAGCCTGATTAACAAGTGAGTGTGAAAGTCTTCCAGACCCCAGGAAGGCTCTCAGTCAGCTCTGAAGGGCGGGACCACATCCATGTGGAGTCCCCAGAGTCTGGGCCTGCAGGTAGTAATTCTTTCTAGGTCCAGGTGGATGTTCTGCGGGCACGTGTGGGTGTAGCTGCAGAAGTATCAATCACACGTGATTTGTCTATCCTCCAGGAGTATTCAGCTCAAAGGAGGTTCTCAGAATTTGCTGTAAGTCTAGACCACTACCATGTGAATCATGATCTGTTTTGTTGTCGTTCCAGTCGATTCAGAATTAAAACTGTTCTTGGAAATGTTTTTTTCTTTGTTGCTCAGATTGGATTAATGAAGACAAGATATGCGTTCAATGAATACACTCATGCTTGGGTCCTTTTAACCTGCAGGAGGGCCTGTTTCTATCAACCTACAGTTCGCAGGCAACCGGAGGTTTGAATTCTGTGGTCAGTATGGCCCTGTGTTTTTGTTTTCATTTTGTTTCAGGGCTGTGTGAGGCTGATTACTTCACTGACCGCAGCCTTATTTGTGAGGTTGTGGTAAATGCTGTTTACTGCAGTGTGTCCTATGCCCATCTCTGGTATCCCTAATCCTGTCTAGTTTTCTGTCCTTCCCTCACTGCACAGAGGTGAGATCATGGCTCAGCATAAATCCATCCACTTAAGAGGAAAAACAACTCACAAACATGGACCTCTAATATATGAAGCATAAGCAAAAAAGGCATCGCTGTGACCAAGAAGTTTCTAGAAAGGTTGGCGATGGCATGGCAAATGTCTTGGCCTGTTGAACAGGAAGATCTCCTTTGTACCCGTAGACAAATTACTTCTTTTCTCCTCTCAATTTCCCTACCAATAATAATTAGGAATTGACTTTCAAAAGGTCACCCAAGTATAAAGCTCAATGACCCTAAGTAATAAAAGCTGACCTTTGTGGGTAACACGCTATCATTACTAGACTTTTATATGCTCTGTCCTCTATTACCCAAGATCGTATTTGGTAAATGGAAGCTCTGGGATCCCAAACTACACACCATGGTCTGGAGTACAAGCTTTTAAGCATGCTTCTACAGTAGTTCCCTGTGTAAATGAAATCCATTGAGGACCATTGGCTTTCAGGGCTTAGCCATCCTTACCCTGTATTTCTCCTCCAGTGAGGTGTTCCACACTGTGGCTACCCTCTGACTCCTTCGTGTCCTTTCTCCATCTCTTCTTCTGTCCACTAAGACCCACACCTGGGGGATCAGATCCTGTGGAAGAGGTGTTGCTGCTGAAGACAGAGGTCTGGGCGAAAAGACCAAATAGACTGCTGGTTTACTCCATCCATGTCCGTCTGTACTGATGCTTAGGCTCAGCTATAATCCTGAGGACCGGAAATAAGTTCGAGAGATACACCAAGAGTGGAGAGTAAAAGTGAGACGAAGGGTCATAGAGTGCAGGCAAAGAAACACAGTCCCAAAGGGCAGCATGAGAGGCTCTCAGAAACTAGTGATAAGAGTAAGAAAGCCTTCAGAAGGGACATTTTCCCCTTAGTGGCACCGCATGGTAACACTGACTTTTTGCACTTCTCGGGTTGTGAAAGCAGAATGTATGGATACATTTCTAGGCAAACAATCTGTTGTGTAATTATTCAGGGCTTGAGAGAGGAACCAGAGTACAAATGTGAAAATTTAGCATGAATTTTAGTGTTAGAACATGAAGGTTCTAAAAACCATTGGTTCATGCCTGTCATAACTGCTGAAAACAGTCCTTTGAAACTTCTTTCAGTTTTTTAGAGGGTAGCGAGGTGTAAGTGTTTAAAAGCAAAAACTTTTGGAGCACCTGGGTGGCTCAGTTGGTTAACAGTCCCACTTCAGCTCAGGTCATGATCTCACTGTTCATGGGTTCGAGCCCCGCGTCGGGCTCTGTGCTGACAGTTCTGAGCCTAGAGCCTGCTTAGGATTCTGTGTCTCCCTCTCTCTCTGCCCCTGCCCCACTCTCGCTCTATCTATCTGTCTCTTTCTCTCTCAAAAATAAGTAAAACGTTAAAAACATTTTTTAAACCACAAATTTTTGAACCCTGGTTCTATTGTTTACTAATTGAGGAATCTTGGAACATTTGTATAACACACTTGGGCGTTAGATTTTTTCTCTTTCAATGAGTTAAACTTTACTTTATCATATTATGATCATTAAGCTAGTTTATACGTGTGCATGACTTGGAACAGTAGTTAGTACAGAGCAAGCACTTGAAATAATAGTTGTTATTTCACACAGAACAGACATATCTAATTTGCTGATGCTGCCAATTACAAACGATCCTCACATTTGTTCAGAAACTCTCTTTTCCTTGCCTGGATTCTATTAGAATC